TGCTCAAGCTGTATATACTACTACTACTACTACTACTATGTGACCTCAAGCGAGTTATTTGACCTTCCTGAATTTCTGTTTCCTCATCTGAATTAGCGCCGGCTTTACAGAGTCAACATAAAAATTAGATAAGATACGCCCCAGTGACACTCTACCAGGAACTATAAAATGTGGTCCTTCTTGCAGACGACATCCAGCATTAAAGCTGGGTAATTTGACTGTATCCACACTGTATCCACAATCTTTTCTCCTGTTTAAATGATCTTCTCTCTACCCTTTAGAGACAGCTGTCCAACAGAAATACAGTATCAGCCACAAATGTGAACCCTATATGAAATAAAAATGTTTTAGTAGTCCTATTAAACAAGGTGCGATTAATTTCAAGGATGTATTTTCTTTAACCTAATTACTATAGCCCAAAATATTTCATTTTCAACATGGAATCATCAATATAAAAATCGTTAATAAAATGTTTTACTTCTTGTTTTCACAGGAGACCTTCGGAATTGGGTGTGTGTTTTATACTTCGGGTCAGCGTGGACTGCCCACGTTTTGAACGCTGCCACCGCAAGACACAGTCCAGCTCCAGATCGTTCCTGGTGTTTCTGTCCCACCGGCTTTCTCAGAATTAGGGACACCGTGTCATGTACAACAATACCCCAGCTATGATCTCTCATTCTCCTGGAAAAAAGCTGAGGTTTGCGCCACTTCCCATAATCACAGGACACTCTGTTCCTCTATTTTAACAGAAGTGGATGGTGATAAAAGGGCTGCCAATGGCCACTGAGAGACTGGGTCAGAGCCGGCAGGCCGAGGATGCTGGTGACATCACAGAGCAGCTTCCCAAACAAAACAAAAAGTGGGGTTCATTGAGGCAGTCGGGGGGGTGGAGAGGATTCTGATTTGCAAAACTCTATCATCCAAGGGAAGAATTCCTGCCAACAGAGCATAACATCTACTCGTCTATGGGGTTGGGGCAAAGCCCTGAAACAAGGAGAAGGCACACGTCTGTTTTTCACGTGCTAGCTTTTCTTCCTGTGAGAAAGGGTGCCACGTAATGTCATAAGCCTCAAGAGAACCTAACAAGGAAGGGGCACACCTCAGCCATTCCACTCCAGTGAAAATTTATTCTATTTTTAAGAGATTCAAGAGAAAGAGCCCGGGATCTTCCTTATTAACTGCTTCCAGGATTCCATCTACTGTCCCTCACTGTCAGGAAATTCTTCTTGGTCTTATTTAAATTATTCTCACTAAGGCTAATGCACATTTCCCTTTCCTGGCCTCCAAAATGCTCGCCTAAGTATGCAGGGGAAAAAAATGGAGAAACTTATTTTAAAGAAATAGCCATAGGAAGATAAGATTTGAGAATTTTACTTTACTACCAAACATTCACAACACCCTCTTAGCTGGCTACAGAAGCATCAGGAAGAGACTGACAGAGAGATATGCGTGACAGCAGCCGCATTCATTCTGATGCAGGCTTTTTTGAGTACATTTCTGATGGGCTGAAACAATTTTGGGCCACAGGGCAAATGACACTGTCTCAGGTTGGATGGGAGGGTGATGTGGCTGGAACCTGCCGCACACAGATGACCGAGGTTGGAGGCTTGGTTTTGTTGCTAAAAGCTCCCCTCATCGTTCCCGCTGTCCTTAAGTGGAATTTAAGGATTTATGGCGTCACGCGATAACACTGTGGGTACCAGGAGGTGACCTGGCTGTGGATTCTGAGATGAACCTTTCAAACATCAAATCCCAGTATGTGCACACTTGACCTTTTCCCTTTTTCCCTGTAAGGGTAATGTGGGATTTACTCAGGGCAGTCAGGGATTTGGAAGCATAGATTCTGCTCAGTAATCTCAAAGGGCTTTATAAGAAGCATTAAATGTTGGGATTGTGGCCATTTTGCTCTATAACCCGAAGAAGGGAAATGCTATGGTCACAAGGACCAGGTCTACACCACAGGAGATGGTCTGTATGGGTGTCTGGTTACCAGACTCCTTCGGGGGGAGGGAATCCTTGGTAGGTGTTGATTCCAAGTCACCTTGCTCTTCTTGCAGGCTGCTGGAGTTTTGCCAGGTGTAGCCTCCGATGCATCTCTTACCCTAATGGTGGCTGAAAAACTCGACCTGCCACCTCTGCCACTATTTCTAATGTCAGCCACTCTTGTGTAAACCCGCTTGCCCCTCTGTGGGAGAGAAACACTTCCTCCAAACCTGCCTCTCCATCTTACAAACCTTGTCGGGTCAACACCCACCCCGCCCCATCTCCACAACTCCAGATCACAAGACTGAGAAGGGAGTTTCTTCATCTAAGGCTTGTTACAGATATTCTGAAATTATTCTTCAGAGCAGCAACAGTAAAACCTTCTGCACCTAATACACTTTGGTGACTAAAGTATAAATGAAATCTGCAAGGCTGCCACTCTGTGGACTTACGGTATCAAAAAGAGAAGTATGGGATCCAACTGCTTTGTTCTATGAAAAACCCAGCATGGGTCCAAATGAACTCGAGAAGAGGGATTCCCTTTAGAAAGGATTTTGTCAAGAGAACATAACCCGGGACAAGGGAACTTTGTAGAGGAGAAAGAAAAGTCATATTTAACTTGGTGTTTGTCCAGTAGTTTTAACCTTGCTCCTCTGTGTTCTGCTGAAGTCTGCTTTGTAATCATGCCGAAAGTTTAGAAGTGTTCCTTTTTTTTTTTTTTTGTCTATAGTTTTTTTGTGTGAAACTAAATCCCCTGCCAAGCAATTGGTTCTACGACAAAAAGTCCTTTGGGGAAATAATACCAAGGCATTTTAGGATTAGCCCATTCTTTCATTCCATAAGGATTTATTTAGTGACATTTGTGCCAGGCATTGGGCTGGGTGCTGGGGATACACAGGGATCACGACGCAGACCCTGCCCTCAAACCGTTGGCGGCTCTGGGCAACAGAATAAACAGGCAGGGACAGTGAGCCGTGACACTGAGTTGTGACAGCGCAGTGAAAGGGAACCATGGGGGAGGGGGCGCAGTGTCTTCGGAGCTGTGAACTGGAGGCTTAACAGAAACCAGCCAGGCACAGGGGTGTAGGTACGGGAAGCAGAGTTCTAGAAAGAGGAAGTAACACGTGACTTGTGTGGGCAGAGTAGGACTTCTCTTGCTTGGCCTAATTCAACATCTTCTGGATTGTGAAAGGCTGAGAATGAGCCTTCCAAAGCTGTGCACAGCAGTAACTAAATATCTTTTCTGCGATTCAAGTTCACTTCCAATGCCCTGGGTTCACATCTTCCGGGGCAGGCTGGCCGACACGCTATAACTTCACTGCCACTTGAGGTCCCATTTCCTGTTTCAGGGAGTGGCTACTTTCTAAACCTCTAAGTGTTGATATATATTTTTTTAAAAAAGCATCTTAAAAACACTGGACCACTCAACTATAAACTTCATGCTGATTCTTAACAACTGAAAGCTCCAAATGCTTTGTCAGTGATTTTGCTAACGGAAGAGATCTTGCTCAATTTACAGTTCCTGTCTCCTGCCTCACCTCACCCCCCAAATCCAAACCACAAGTTTGACTCTTAATAAGACTGTAAGTCTTGGAATCTAGCCTAATAAGGACATAATCCAAAACACGGAAGAACTCTGTACCCATGGGTAAGTTAATGACAATGTTTACTGATAATAGTGGAAAAACCGTAAAACAAACAAACAAAAGCCTTAAATGTGCCCACATGAGTAAACGATTAGATAATAATGGTATATCCATTTTTGGACTTGATGCTGATATGAACAAAGGTGAACCCATAGTAACTTGGAAAATGCCAATGAAAGACAATGTTAGATGGAAAAATAAAATAGAATTACACACGTTACGATTACAACCACGTAAGAAATAGAAATCTGAAAAATGCTGGAAAGAAATTTGCTGAAATGAGACTAGTAGGTAAATGAGTGGGCTCTGATTATGAGCTCTCTCCTACTTTCTGTTTCCTACGTTGCCTTTATAATTTAAATCTAATTTAAAGTATTAACTCCTTCAGGTTAGCAATTCGAACATTTTCCAAATCCAAGCAGTATATTCAAGGGGACGTGAGATAAGAGTATTTCTACGCATATCTTCCCATTGTGGCAGTATCGTCCCCCCCCCCTCCAGTGAATGCACATGCAGGTGTCATTTCAACCTACCGAGGAACTACAGATTCTCTGGCAAAATATTCTGGATAACAAGGAGCACTGCTCTAAGAGTCTGACAGACATTTGAGGATTTCAAGCAAATACGGTTCTGAAAGTTGGAGTCGAACAACAGATTTGGAATTAAGTTCTTTAAATCAAGTTGGGCAACTCTGCAATTCTTTAGGGCTCTAGGTATAATGATGATTTCTTTCGAGAGTAAGCTGAAAGAGGCCCGGATCTATGATTCTAATACAGCTCTGACTTCTTTGACTCTGATGGGTGGGTGCAAAATTTGTAGACGGACTGACCGATTTCTTGCGTGTCCACGGACACGTAGATGTTCAAGAGTGATGCAACGTAGACACACGGGATGGGGGTTACTCGGCCCCTGGAGGGGAGACAGAGCCAAGAGATTGCCTCTCTTTCCCCACACCTACGAAAGATTCACTTGGAAGCAGCAAATGGTTTTCCACCCCTCTCTGAGCAGGAAAGATGACCACATCAGTTCTAGTTGCCGCAAGAGTTACTTACTTACATTATATTCTAGTTAACTCCAGCAAGTAGAAATTGCTAATGGCAGTTGCGGAATTTCCTTTTCTAGAGATTTGCGACAATAGGTTAGATATACATCTGGCCTTGAATGCCTTAGGCGTGGTGTACAAAGAAACAGAATGAACAAATAAAGCACTCACACACACAAAAATCCCATAGTGTGCCGCCCTTCTCTCCTAGATTCTACCAGATACCGCTTTAAAAACTGTTTATATTGTCCCCCACCCGTCAGCTGAATTGAAGTCCGAACCACAAAAGACTCGGAAGAAACTTAGAACGTTGGCCAAAAGTCAGTTACCTGTACTAGCAGTTCCAGCTTCCTGTCATCAAGAAGATGTACTTGACATCGACGGCCCTCCGTCATCTAGGAAGAAAGACAAACGGTCACTGAGAGTCTGACAGCCTGACGCATCTTCCATTCAATAATTTCATCACACACATTAGGGACAGATTTCAGTATCCGGGCTCTGCCACCGTGTCCCCCATACTGAGCACCTGGGAGCAGCTGAGCACGCCTCTGGCAATTGCATCTGATTTCTGTGAAGCTTCTTTCTCCACAGGATTTCTGTGTTAATCGTTTATTACCTAGTCCCGACAGTGCTTTCCCCGGTGATAGAGGAACCCGGGAGCTAAACGCTCACGGCTAAACCTGACCCCTCACCCTTGCACCTTCTGCTACACACACTGCTGGCAGTGTAAGGGAGAGAGAGCACCCGGATAGTCATCGTTGGGTCGTGGCCCCACCGGGTCTTGGGTGCGTTCATCTCTGCAGCCCCGTCTCATATACAAAAGCGAGTGGGCTGAGGCCAGGGAAATGCAGCTGAAATGTTTAATTGCCGGCTTTCTAGAAGGAAGAAGCCTTCCATTTGTAGCATTTGCTGGAGCCCTGGCGACACTCTCAGAGGAAATCGTTTGAAGAATGAGGCTTCCCTTCGATGTCAGCTGGCCATCACTCTAACCGAAACTTGTCTTGCTGCACTCCAGATAGCTTCCCTGGGTCTGATTTCAAGCTAGTGTCCTGACAACATATCTCCTACACATACGGTAACCTTAAATAGACCCAGGGGCAAGGTGATAGTAGAGTTAAATAATCAGGAAATTTTCCGTCTGTGAGTGATGGGTTTTGAGTATTTATTACCTTTGTTTTTAATGTAAGGTACTTACCTTTAAATTTATAGAATTTAATTTTAATAATGGTTCTGTTTTTACCACTGGCACACAGAATTCCCGAAAAACATACCAACGGGCTCTCACAACAGGTAAGAGCTGGCTCCAACACCACTGTCTGGACCAGAAGACCCAGAAGTTTCCGTCCAGCCCTCGTATTTTTCTATGACTCCATACCCCCACTGAAACTACCTTCTTTTTGCCCAGTTAGCAGCCACTTCATGCAGATTAAGGAGAGGGAAATAGGTGGGCAGATCCTGGCCTCATCTGCATGCCCAGCCATCACAGTCCCTTCTCATGAGCGCTTTCTCCAGGAACGATGCAATAGAGAGCATCTTCTCTTCCTGTACAACCGGGATTATCCTCTAACCATCAGCATGTCCAAAACTGGCATGGACTCTGGTGGGAAAATCCTCTTATTCCTTCCTGAGAAGAAGCCAACCCCTCCAACTACCATCAAGTCAAATTTCCCTAGTTATGGGATCTTAACCAAAATGGCACACCCTGCGTGGATGGGGCCAGAAGAAAGTCTCTTGAATCTGAGTTAGAAGAATAACTCAGCAGTCCCCAGCTCTGAGAAAAAGCACCAAGAGAAGTTTTACATGCCCATAGGCACTCCAACAGAGGTTAAAATAGAGTTAAAAACCACAGGAAGACTTCAGTCCAAAGGTCTATCATTTTGCACATATAAGCCGAAGCCGGCGGCCATGGATGTGAGACGGGTCTATGACAAGTCCTTATTCATTCTTTGGACTCTTAACTGTCAGTGTTAACTGCCTTAAAAGGAGAGAGGGCTCAAATCCCATTAGAATCTACCAAGTGTGCACATAGGAGGCATCCTAGCTGACTGACTTCATTTAAAAAATCCGTCAGCTTTAAAAAATAACCAAGTGGGACAACATCATAAAAAGCTCCTGCACAGCAAAGGAAACCATCAACAAAATGGAAAGCAACCTACTAAATAGAAGAAAATACTTGCCAATTATATATCTGATAAAGGGCTAATACCTAAAATATATAAAGAACTCAGATGACTCAATAGCAAAACCCCACACAATCCTAGTATAATGGGCAGAGAATCTAAATAGACATTTCTCCGAAGAAGACGTCCAGACGGCCAACAGACACACGAGAAGATGCTCGACATCACTCATCATCAGGGAAATGCAAATCAAAACTAGAATGAGCTATCAACCTCCTACATGTTAGAATGGCTACTATCAAAAAGACAAGAAATAACAAGTGTTGAGGAGGATGTGGAGAAGAGGGGAGCCTCGCACAGATGGAGGGTCCTTTAAAAGTTAAAAATGGAGCCACCATATGATCCAGTAATTCCACTTCCGGGTATTTATCCAAAGAAGAGGAGAATACTCATTCAAAAGATAAATGTACCCCCATTTTCAAGGCAGCATTCTGTATAAGAGATAAGACACAGAAGCAACCTAAGTGTCCATGGGTGGATACATGGATAAAAAATATGTGGTGTATATATGCAGTGGAATATTATTCAGCTATAAGAAAGAAGGAAATCTCGCCATTTGTGACAACATGGATGGACCCTGAGGGCATTATGCTAAGTGAAATTAAGTCAGAGAAAGACAAATGATCTCATATGTGGAATCTAAACAAATAAACAAAACACCAAATTCGTGGATACAGAGCACAGATTGGTAGTTGCCAGACCTAGGGGGTCAGGGGGTTGAGGGAAATCGGTGAAGTGGGTCCAAAGTTCAAAAGGTACAAATTTCCAGCAGCTCAGTTCTTAATGGAAAGAACCCAAGGTTAACATAGGGGAAGTTCAAGGAAGAAAAGTGCTACAACCATCCAGCTTATTACTTTGAAATTCCTTTAAAGACATTTATTATGGGTTTCAGAAAATTCTCTGAAGGGTGGGGACAGAGGAGAATTCAAAAAAAAAAAATGCTGCTGGTCCTTAGCATCTTTAGAACACAAAGTTGTGAGCTTCCTTTTATTGTAAAAGGCTAAGGATATAAAAACATTCTTGACTTCCTTATCCACATTCTAATAAATTTGACAAAAATAAAGGGAAATTGGTATCACCAAGATATTACTGTATCAAATGAAGTTTTAACTGCAATAATAAAGAGGTAGTATATCATTTTCCCAAAATATTTCAGAGCACACAACACTTGACGTGACACTGAGTTCATGCCCGTACCTAGTTTACTGTGAGGCTCTCATTTTCATCTGAAAAATAAAATCCTCATTCCATTAAATAATCTCACCTTATCTGCTCAGCGGTTGAAGGCATTAACTATATATCAAGATGTTAAGATCTACTCAAAGTTTTCCAAGTTCATTCTTCTCTTCCAAAAAGCCTCAATTTTCAGTCCTGGGGAATTTATTTCTAAGCACGCTCCCTATTTGAACAGGGAATTTCTAAGCTGCCTCCCTTTGGGAAGGCAAAATGTCCCTGAAAAAAAAAAAAAGGCAGCCCAGAGAAGTGCGTCCAAACAGAAACTCAACTTTGAATCATCATGTTTTCGGAAAGTACGCCTTTCTTTGGGCAGCACTGCCGTGGTTTTTTCTCCAAGGGGGGACGGTCGGTCCTTCCTGACTGAAGGAAGACTGGAGTATCCAGTTCTCATCAGTTCAGAAAAGGTTTACCCTTCTGGGTGTGTACCGGGAAAGAGGGGACATCTGTAGCTTTGTCTGGCTTTCCAGGCACATTGAAATTTTCTTTTGAATGCTAACAACTGTAAAATAATACGGCTTTGCTTGTTTTCATTTTCAACTGCTGAGGCACAATTGCAGCGTTGGCATCCCCCTCAGAGGAAATCCTTTTGGAGAGCAAGGCTTCTGGTACATGTCAGCGGGCGACCACTCCAACATAAATCGTCTCGCTACAATACAATTCCATACCAAGCAGAGGCCTGCCGAAAGCACTGTGATTCTAAAGAAATATAGAGCGAAGTGTTATTTTGGAAGTGAGGTGTCCACCCCATCGCTCCAACTTTGCCATTAAGACACACACTGAATCGGGAAGACTATTCATAAACAGAGAAATGCATTTATGATACTAGCTTAAGGGAGCATAGCAGAATATGAAATGCTATGTGTGTCCTATCAAGATAGCCAATAAAATTATCGTGCACTTAGACAGGAATTGGGAGGCAAAAAAATAAAATAGTTGATATGCTAGGGTAGTAGGCTTATGGGCAGTTTCCTCCCATCCCATCCAATTATGACTTTTTTTTTCAGTTAAAAAAGTGTATAAAAAGAAACTTTATCTAGAAAAATGAATGACAGTGTTTGAGGTCAGCCATAGGAAATGGATCCTGAGAAGCTTCATTGCCAGCGATTTTGTTTTAGATTGCCTACGTTTTTAACGCATCAAATCAAGTTAATTAGTTTACAACTGAGAATTACAATTGTCACATAGGTCAGAATACTGGAGACGGAAGGTCTGACACATTCTCTTCCGGCAGGTGGAATTAATGGGAAGCCAAACTGTGATCAGAAGTTGCTCAGGGAGCACAGAATCTGAAAAGGAGGGGCATTTATAAATATCTATGTCTGAGGGCATCTTTTCTCCACTATCCTGATATATTCCTTCCTGTTGGTGGAAGGACCCACTGTCCAAATGTGGCGGGGGAGTCCCCCCTCATTGGTAAAAAACAAATAATAACTAACTAGCAATGACAAATGCCCCCTCCATGGGGATTTTCAGATGCTTTACATGGACAAGGGCAGGCTACCGAGTTCAGCCTGTGCAAACACATTTTATTAGGAACATTTTGTCTTCAAATTCAAAACGAAGTAAACCCCATTTTAATATGTTTTGTATTATGACCCTTTTCTCTACATGTCACCTCTCCCTACCTCTCTCCCTCCTGCTCTCTTAGCCACTGCGTGTCCTTTGCCAAGTAAGTTACACACTATGGTATACACACCTAGTTCCACTGTGGACGACATTTTTGTTGAAATCTAATGCAGTTGTACAAATGACTATAGGGTCACTGATTCTGAGCTTAGCAATGCACGTGGCTTTCAAAAATAAAAACTAAAAAATATCTCATCAGCACATTACGATTGCAGTTCCTGAGGCACATTCATACGGAGACGGTTATCCCTGAGGCACCGGGGAATGGGGTGAGGGCAGGGTGGACACCGGGGTCGGGGAGGCAGTGTTCACAGACCGCAAACACAGCTTTGAACACGCCCACTTGGTCTGTC